AGAGGCAGGGGGAGGGGGCAGTGTGAAAATGGTGATGCCAGGGGAACAGGAAGATCAAAGAATCATAGAAAATTAGAGTTGGAAGGGACCTCAGGAGGTCATTTAGTGACTAGTCCAACCCCTTGCTCAAAGCAAAATCATCCCCAATTAGATCATCCCAGCCATGGCTTTGTCTAACTGGAACTTAAAAACCTCCAAGGATGGAGATTCCATAACATCTCTGGGTAACCTGTTCCAGTGTTTTACTACCCTCCTGGTGAGAAAGGGTTTTCCTAATATCTAACCTAAACTTCCCTCACTGCAACTTGAAACTATTGCTCCTTGTTCTTGTAGAAAGCTGGTGGATATTTTTTTGCTTTTTTGTTGCATCTCCCCAAATACTTCACCAGCTCCCTCCATCAAATTGTTTCTCTATGAGCATGTCTACACAAGACACTTACTGCAAAGCTGCCTAATTAGCTCCACAGTAAATGTCTCATCATTTACACATGCAGCCCTATTAGGCTGCAAAAAACTAATGAACTCCACAGCAAAGTAGTACTTGTATTTACTACAAGTAGTACCTGCTGCAGAGTTGTTTTGTGTGCAGCACTGCATGTGTAGACACTGATGTGGCTGACTGGGGCACAAAGTTGCTTCAGTGTGGGGACTGCCTACTGACTAGCCCTGCACTGGAGTACCCTTGTGCCCCAGCCAGCCCCTCTGCAGCATGTTGAGTCAGGTTGGAGCAGCCCCAGGTTGGCAGGCTGACCCCCAAGACCCCCTGCTAGCTGGGGCTTCTCTGACCCAGATCAATGTCCTGCAATCCCAAGAGCACATACAAATAGTGTGCCCAGAGCAAGAAACTGGCACTTATTGCTCCTCATTCATTTCATAGACATTAGGGCTCTTAAGATCATTGGGTCCAGCCCCCTGCCCAAGGGGCAGGAAGTCAGCTAGAGTCAAAGGATCCCAGCAAGGTAAATGTCCAAATGTTCCTTGAAAGTGTCCAGAGTAGGTGCTTGCACCACCTCTGGGGGGAGTTTGTTTCAGGCCTTGGGGGCTCGGACAGTAAAGAAGTTTTTCCTTATGTCCAGCCTAAAACAGTCTTGTGGGAGTTTGTAACCGTTGGATCTTGCCATACCCTGGGGTGCTCTGGTGAACAGGCGTTTCCCCCAGATCCTGATGTACACCACTTATGTACTTATAGGCTGCCATCAGGTCCCCCCTAAGCTTGTGCTTCTCCATGCTTAAGAGTCCCATAGCTTGTAGCCTTTCTTCATAAGGCTTGTTCTCTTGCCCTCTGATCATGGATTCTTCTGGACTCCTTCAAGTTTCTCCACATCCTTCCTAAATTGTGGAGCCCAGAACTGGATGCAGTACTCCAGCTGTGGCCTCACCAAGGCCGAGTACAGTGGGAGGATGATATCCTGCGTCTTTCTTGCTTGAGATGCATCAGTAGATGCAAGCCAGTTTTTTTTTGCTTTGTCAGCTGTGGTATCGTATTGGTGGCTCATATTCATCTTGTGGTCAGTCATGACCCCCAAGTTGATGCTTGGTGAGCTTGCTTAGGCGGTTGTTCACCCATTCCCTGGCGATACAATATGCATGTGTAGATGTGCTCTCTGGCTTCATAATTACTCTGGATGTGTCATGCCATTTTTCCACATCTCCTTGGCCTTTTTTTTCTCTTGGGATATTCTAAATCACTTCCATTTGCCTGGCCCTGCCCAAACACAGCTAGGAAGACAGCTTTGCCTCCCTCCTGTCATGTTCTTTGTTCATCTCTGGTGGAGACACTTCCACCATAAGATTCCCTTCCCCGTGGAGCTTCATCTGCTGATTTCTGTGTACCTTCTCCAGTTCTCCTCTGCCTTTCTCTGAGCTATCATGTCTATGCTAATAATACTGCACTGTACTTGCTTTTCGACGCCTTCTTAAATTAATCCCCGGCCACCCTCTGAGCCTGGTTTGACCAAGTGATCTTTGACTTCACTTCCCTTTCCTTCAGTTGAGTGTCTCAAAGACACACATCTCTCTCTCAGGGAGAGGTACATCCTCAGTTTCAGCTCCATCTCCTGAAGCTTCTCTGACTCAGGTCTCCCATTTGCCTCTTCTTGTATAATGTTAGCACTGTCTTTGTTCTGAACTTGCCTTCTACTCCTACATCCCATGTGTTTGCAAACTCACTTCTCCTCCCAGCCCCAACATCACAATGTGCATTACTACTTTAGGATTCTCTCTGTGCTGAGACACTCACCCAGTGGTCCCTTCCTCTCATCAAGGCAGGTTTATAATCTACAGACACCCTGAGTCCCAGGTCTCTGATATGTACACATATGTGCTCTGCTTCTCCACCAGCTTGGCAGTCACTGTCTTCCTCTCTCTTCCCACACAATTTCACTTGTCTTAATGCATGACCCTTCTCTGCTGCTCCTTTCAACAGAAGTGGCCTCCAATTATCTTACTAGCTCATCTAATACCCATCTCTTTTAGAATGTGAGAATATGTATTTCTGTCTTTAGTAAATTCATTTCTCTCATGCTGCATTTTTATTTTAGCTCTGCCTTCTTTAACATTGAGAAGCATTTAGAATCCTGCTTGTATGAAAGATACCAGTTAGACTGAAACTGTTTGTTCAATCACTAACATACAGTAATGTATATATTGGCTATAATATTGTTAATATGGCAAGCATAAATATTGACTACTATTGTACTAACAAACACAGTATTCTGTTATCTGAGATCACAGGGTTAGAAGCTGTTGCCTGACAAATTCACACTAGAAACACGTGACTTGTTCACAATGAGTGCAAAAGAGGAACAACTTACCTAAGGATGCAATGGACTGGCTATCATTTGATGTCTTTAAGTCAGGACTGAATGCCTTTATAAAGGATATGCTATAGGTCTACCAGAAGTTGTATTTGATGCAAAAACTGTAGGATGAAGTTTTATGGCCTGATGATACAGGATGCCAGACTAATAGACTTGAGGCACCCCTGGATGTATTTGTGGCACCCCTCAGAAAATGTCAGCTCTTAGTTTTCACCCTTTTTTGTTTTGACTACAGAAAAATAATAAAGCAGTCTTTCTGTTGCAAGGAACTCAGAAAGGCCATGACTGTGGATTTGTCTCTCAAATCTCTGGGTTTATCTTGTGAATCATGTTTGAAAACCTAATGGGCACCTATACATGTTCAGTGAGGCTGCTCAGATGTGCTGTAATTACTTGATTAATCGAGTCTGCTGGAGCAGGGTAATTACCACACTCCAACAGACTCCAGCATCTCATGTATTAGCCTCCCTGCACTGAAAAATGGCAGCAGGGGCGCTTTAACTAAAGCTTGCTTTGGATGCTGACACACAAGACACTCTGGGTGCTTTCATTAGAGTAGCTCCCCGGACACTCCTTACTTGCTAACACCCTGTGGCACTGTTGTAAGTTTCTGAAGGCACCCCAGGGTGCTGCGGTAACTTGGTTAAGAACTACTGGATTATATAACCATAACAGTCCCCTTTCTTGGCCTTAATAATTGAATCTATGAATCCCATATTGTTGTTTACATGTGATCTTTTTTGAAACAGGTACTTGTGTGATTCCTTGCTATTTTCAGGACTGTCCCAGGGGTACAACCACAGGGGAGCTAGGGACCCTCCCCACAGGGGACACTGGGACAGGGGATACACACCCTGGGAGAAAAAACTCCAAAAATAAAAACCACTTACTTGCTACAGGATGTCAGACACAGGATGAACAAAGAGTGAAACCTGCGCAGTTCATTAGCCGTGCTTATATACAGCTGGTGCGGTGGGTGACATCAGGAGCGATCACCGGCCAACAAAGATAAAAAAGGAATGCCAGGGGAGAAACGGGTAGAGCCATTGGAGGCTGCAGAGGCTCTCCGTGCCACTGATGGGTGGTGCTGGCAAGGAAACAGGGATCTCGCTCAGGGAGAGGCAGTGGAGGCTGCGAAGACTCCCTGCACCAGCAGCAGGGTGCCCTGGCGTGAAGAGGTGGATTCCACTTGTGAAAAGGCATCCCAAGCAGCAGCGATCAAAATCCAACCCCACACTGGTCACGAGCTACACCGGCATCCAGGGGAAGACCCCACTCTTGAAGGAGCTACAGGAGTCCTGGAGACAGTGGAGACTCCCTACTCTGGGTTCCCACGGGTGCAAAGCCAAAGGAAAAGGCTAACCCAGAGAAGAACAGAAGATACGCTCGGCAGGGAAAAAGAGTGGAGCAACACTGGGGGACGCCACCTGGCTCAGGTTATAGGGCCGAGAGAAGGAAAGGTCACCTCAGCCTGATCTATCCTTCTCTATCCACCCTCCTCCTCTTTCTTTAAGCCTTTTTTCTCTTTATTTGCCGCTCGTCAGTATATAGTTTCTTGTGCTACCTTTTTTTGGCTTGTCTCCTTTCTTAGTTATTAGGGGTTAGGTCTAGTTTGAGGGGATCCGACTGACACCCCAACAGCGGGGGTGCTTATTAGGCTCAGCAAGTAGTTGGCAAGAGCAGAAGAGATAGATAATAGAGGCGAATCCAGCAGGCCTGTAGCCTGTCAACAGAAGTGAAGATAACAACTAGTCCCAGAGAAGGCATGAAGACCAAAGATCATCTGAACCGGAGGGACTTCCGCAATAAAATCAGGTGGCCCGCCGTAGGTTGGCATAAGGAAGGGGTGTAGGGGAGGTGGAGCCCCACGAATACCCACTGGGAGGAGCGACCGACCCCAAGGGACCTTCTACAGACGACCCCTCCACTGAAAATACACTCAAAATCATGGCAGGTGAGTTCAGAGGCCTTCTTCAGGGTGATCAGGGTCCCTCTCAGTGGTCACATGAACCTTCACCATGCCCACCACCAGGCACTCATGCTAAGGCAGCTCAGGAACAGGTATTTGAAGCCAGGCGGGCACAAGGACAATCACAATGTCCTCTTGGACACTTACATATTTTCTTTAAAGTGTATTTTATTAATTGTTCTAACCATTTAGTAGGATACTCAAAATAGGAGGTAGAAGATGTTCCCCTGTTAGAGCTCATTCAGCCATTATAATGTTTCCCTACCTCATTTGTGAGGCTTTAAATATTAGTTAATTTTGAGACAGTACTTGTAAAGAGAAACCAAAGTACTGATACTGCTCATTATCCTTGCCTTTTGGGAATTATCCCACCAAGTTCCAATTACATCCATTGGAAGAATCCCAGTCTCACTGAAGTCAAAGAGATGCCATTGACATCAAGGAACCCAGGATTTCACTATGCACCTTCACCATTCATTTTCATGTGTAGATCACCTTATTTTTTCCCCAATGCATCATGCAGTTGTTACAAACACAGGCACAGATATACTCCTCATTTTTATTCATCTTCTGTTGCAGAACATCTCCAAAACCACTGGACAGGTCATCCTTTCCCTGGACTCAGCCAAGTCAATGGGCATCTGCAAGCAAAATACTTCTTCTTGAAGCTCCTCTGTAACAAGAATTGGACAACAGGTGAAACATTTCCTATAGCTGAAGTTCTATACAGCTGCATCCTGCCTTCAGGCAAATAATCTCCTGCTTGGGACCAGGATCTAGACACAAGGTGAATCATCTTTTCTGCCCATCATTGCTGAGCAGTAAAGGCCAGATGCTGGGGCTTTCTGTTTTCTTTATGAGCACTTCCATATTTTCTGCTTCCAGTTACCTAAAAAATAGATAAAAACAATCTAGCTCTGTTGCTGGGTAAAGAGTTGCTGTCCATTTCAAAGAAATGCTCCACCTAGTCCTGTAAGCTTTCTCAGAAAGAAGCCATTGCCAGGTGGGCCAGTGCAGACTGAAGAAACCCCTTAACAGAATAAGCTGCCAAATGGGGAAGTTTCTCTCCATCCCTCCTAACAGTTATAGCTTGTCTGTGTGGGGAGAAAAAATTCTAATAGTTTTTTAAAACATGTTTGGCCAAACAAATTTGAGCCACAATGTAAACAGAATTATAACCCAAGCTGTTATTATTAAATCCATTTAAATTGTAGCATATGTAGGAGTGACAAATGTAGTTTACATGGAGCATCAGAATGGTGGCTCCCAGGAGCCCGCAGCAACAGCACCTAAGGGCAGGGAGATTGCCCCATGGCAGCAGCAGCCAGGGTCTTTGAGTCTCTGGGACATTTAACCATCCCCTTCCCTGCCCCCATCCCTCGACTTTAGCCTTTCTGCCCAGGGCACAAAACTTGCTAGTTACACATCTACATTTAAAGCAGACTTGAAACTTGATTCAGCAGAAACAAAACAGACAATGGTAAACCATTGACTCCAGATCTGCGCTATAAAAAAGTGGTTTAAAAACCTATAAAGATGAACAAGTGCAGATGGATTCTTAGTGACTGACTAATAGAAATATTACCCAATGCAGATATGTTCTTAGTGATTGATTTTTACCTTTCAGCATGTGAACATAAGCCTTTTGTAAAGATTTATCCTATCTAATGTCACTGTTGTTGACCTCATTATCTGTCAGTGTATGATCTTTTTTTTGTATCCTTCTGAGCTCTTGGCTCTAGCGACATTTTGTGGCTATGAGTTCCACTGGTGGATATGCAGTTAAGCATTGTGAAAACAAAACTTACTTTCATGTTTTAAAATGGTGATTTTTAATTCAGTTGAATGAACATTGCAAGAAAGAGGGAATAGAAAAACCTGCTCTACCTTTCTGTAACACAGGACTACCTACTGCCTGACCCATTTGCAGGTAATAAGAGCCCTGAGACAGGGAGTCATAGTTCAAGGCCTGGCTCCTTTAACAGCAGGTAGTTGAGGGACATATCACCATACCCAACTTGTACAAAACAAGAATGCATATTCAGGCTAAGTACAGGCATTCAAGAAGCCCTCAGCAGAAGCACTCTAAAGTTCAAGGCTTAGTCTAAGTGCCCCATTTATGTTGGGAGGAAGCAAAACACATATTAGCTGGGGGAGGTAGGGGGGGGGTGCGGGTTGTGTTCAGAGCCTGTCTGCTTGGCCTGAGCACAGCAGATAGGGGGAACTCTCGCCCACTTCTCAGCATGCCCCAAAGCGCTCTGGGCTACTGAAGACACCCGAGCAGGGCTGAACGGCCAAGGTGCCCCTGATTGGCTGGCAGTGGCTCAGCATGGCTGCCCACCTGGACTTGATGTGGCAGTGGCTCATCATGGTATACATCCTCATGGCCATAAGCCACCCTCATGCCTACTCTGTGCACCCTGAACCTGCCAAGTGTGCGTTTGCATGTGTCAGATACCTAGGTTCTGAGAGAGAGAGAGAGAGTGTGTGTGTGTGTGTGTCCTGGATGCCTGGGTTCTGTGTATGTGTGCAGCCCCCCTCTCCCCCCACACAGGACCAAGGTGTCCTGGACACACACACCGTCATGGGTTGCATGGTGTCCACGGGTGTGGCCTGACTCATCAAGAGAAGTGTTGGGAAACCTGACCACAGGTTCTGCAGGTTGGGCCAGCACAGTGGCTGCTGTACTAGTACTGTGGGGGCTGGTGCACACTCCGTATCTCTGGGAGGGGCACAGAGATATATGAGAAGACTTGGTCCAGAACAGCCATGGCCCCTGTGTGGGAAACAATGTTGTAGGGCCTCCCTCTGCCTTCTTCCCTTCTGGCAGAGTCCCTGCAGCCAACTCCTCCAGGACACCTTGGTCTTGTGAGCATGAGGGGTGGCAGCTGCCATGTTCTTGGCAAAGATACAGGACAGGTCCTTGTGGAAGGTCATGGTCTAGCCCTGACCCACAGACCACTTTCTAGTGTCAAGCACATGGTAATAATGCCTCATCATCAACATGGTCCTGGTGAGACACTGCTGCCAGTCTCTGTTGTGACTCTTCACCTGCATCTGTTGCACTATGCACTTGAAGACATCTCCAATTCAACACCTTATGTAGCCCTTCTCACCCCAAATAGTGATGAGATCCTTTATTTCCTCAAAATGCCACTGTGTCCCCACATTTGGCTGTTGGGGGTAGATGGTCCGAGGTCAGCCATGGTCCATGGAGGTGCCTGTTGGGGTCTCGGTGTCTGTGGGTGGGTGATGGTCTGGCTGCAACGAGGTGGATGGATGGATAGATGGATGGAGGTGGGTGGAAGGCTGAAAGGATGGATGGATAGATGAATGGATGGATGGAGAGATGGACAGCCAGAGGCATACATGGATACCTGAGGGTGCATGAGGGTGCAGTTCTCATCTCATGGTTCTTGTTCTTACTTCAGCCCCCTGCTCCCCTGTCACCTGGTTTCTGCTGTTCATATCACCTCCAGAATCTCAATGTCCGGGGGCTTTCAGCTGATGCCCCCTGATTCTGGCAATGCCACATGCCCCACCTGGGCTGTAAAATTCAAGGGTCCAAACCCCATGTGGTCCTACAGGTTCCAGAGGTGTGTCTCCGCTTACCTCAGCTGGGAGGTTGAGCACCCCCCCAACTACATCCCCCCACACCACAAACTACCTAGATGATCATCTACTACCTACCTGATCCAGGTGTGACTGGTGCCTCCTGAGTCTGGGCGGAGGGGCACACTGCGGACCAGAAGCAGCCGGCCCGGCAAACTGCAGACCACCGGCTGGAACACAGGTAAAGCTACCTCCACCCCTGGGGTGTGGGCCTAAATCTCAACCACAGCTGCCGCAGGCTTTGTGGGAAAAACCATGGCCCCCTCCGCCTGGTTCTGCAGCAAATATTTAGAGCCCAACTCAGTCACCCTTACTTTACACCCTTATAACATGAAGAACTTTAATGTAGTGGATTCTATTACTGGCATGTTATGAGTTTCAACCCCAAATAGTACTCACCACATTTTATTAGATTTCCTTTTTTCACTTTCACCTTTTCTTAGATTCATAGATTGTAAGTCCGGAAGGGATCTCAGAAGATCATTGGGTCCAGCCCCCTGCACCAAGCAGGAAAGATAACTGGGGGTGACTGTCTAGTCTCCTCTTGAAGATTTCCAGGGTACATGATGGCACCACCTCTGGAGGGAGCTTATTCCAGTCTGGACACCCTGACTGTGAAGAAGTTTTTCCTAATGTTGAGCCTCAATCAGTCTTCCAGGAGTTTGTGGCCATTACTCCTGGTTTTCCCCTTGGGTGCCCTGGTGAACAGTTGCTCACCGAGCCCTTGATGTACTCCCCTAGTGTAGCAGTAAGCTGCTACCAGGTCCCCTATCAGCCTTTTTTTCCTCAGGCTGAAGAGTCCCAGATCCCCCGGGCCTTTCCTATTATGGCTTGCCTTTTAAGACTGATCATATGGGTGGCTCTTCTTTGGACTCTCTCAAGCTTGTCCACATCCTTGTTAAAGTGTGGTGCCCAGAACTGGATGCAGTACTCCAGCTGCGATCTCACCAGTGCTGAGTAGACTGGAAGAATCACCTCCTTGGTTTTGCTGGAGATGCATCGATTGATGCATGCCAGAGTACAGGCAGTCCTTGGACTTACGACACAATTGGTTCCTGAAAACCGTGTCTTAAGTCGAAACGTTGTAACTTGGAACCAATTTTCTCATGAGAAACAATGTTGTAAATAGGGGATTTGTTCCTGATCCAAGGCCCGATACCCTATTTTCACCAACAATACTCCAGAATTTTGTACTCGATCAATTATAGATGAGTAACATAGCTACATTAATGTATTTATATTGTAAATAGCAATCATATTGATTTGGAAGGACTTCTTTGAGGTGACTTTGGTGGATTTTTTGAAGGGTTCTTGGCTGGAGTCTTCTCAGGAGTCTTGGCTGCAGGTTTTTCTGGAGTCTTGTCTGCTTTCTTTAAGAAAGTGTCCAAGGAAGTTTGGACAGATGTTCTCCAGGGAAATGGGTGACATAGCGAACTTGTTTGCTGGCGTGGCATTACATCGGATCAAACATTGTAAAGTCAAAACTGACATCAGAAAGTTGAAATAGGGTATCAATTTATAAATGTAAGTGGAAAATTTTGTAACTCGAAATGTTGTAAGTCAAGGACTGCCTGTATTATTTGCCCTACTGGCTACAGCATCACACTGCCAGCTTATATTCATACTGTGGTCTATTATTACCCCCAGGTCCCTTTCATTCATGGTGCTAGTCAGTTTGGTGCCACCAGGCCTGTAGGTGTGTTGCGGGGTTGCTCGTCCCGAGGTGGAGTATTTTACATTACTCGATGCTGAACTTCATCAGGTTCCGATCCGCCCAACTTGCTAGCCTGTCTAGGTCCACATGTATCTGTAGCCTATCTTCAAGCATGACCACACTTCCCTATAACTTGGTGTTGTCCACGAACTTGGACAGTGAGCTCTTTACTCCAACATCCAAACCATTAATAAAGATGTTAAAAAGTACTGGACTGAGCACCAACCCCTGCAGGATACTGCTGCCCACTTCTTGCCAGGATGACACAGATTTGTTCACTACGACTCTCTGGGTCCTATCCTGCAGCCAGTTTCTCACCCACCTGACTGTCTTGGAGTTAAGCCCACAATCCTCCAATTTTCTCATGAAGACATCATGGGATACCAGTTCAAAGGCCTTTTGGAAGTCTAGGTATAGCAGGTTGACATTGTATCTCGTGTCCAGGTGGCGAGTTACCTGGTCACAGAAGGAGATGAGGTTGGTAAGACAAGACCTGCCCATGAAGAAGCCATGCTGGCTGTTATTAAGAATCTTACCTTCTGCAAGCTTATCGAAGATAGACTCCTTGATTAACTTTTCTAGGATTTTCCCTGGGATGGAAGGTAGGCTGATTAGCCCATAGTTACCTGGGTTCTCCCTCCTGCCCTTCTTGTGGATGGGCACAATCTTGGCCCTCTTCCAGTCCTCTGGGACTTCTCCAGACCACCACAAGGTGTAGAAGAGTTTTGCCAGGGGTTCCACAATGACTTCGGCCAGCTCCTTCAGCACTCTTGGATGAAGATCATCTGGTCCCGCTGACTTGTATACATCTAATTTTATTAACTGGTCATACACCAATTCTCTGGCAATAGTAGGAAGGTGATTATTCCTACCATGCTCATCCCCTGCCCTACCTGGCATGGTTTTCCTCTTGGTCCAGTGAAAGACGGAGGTGAAGTAGTAATTCAGAATTCATAGATTCATAGATATTAGGGCTGGAAGGGACCTCAGTAGGTTATCAAGTCTGACCCCCTGCCCTGGGCAGGAAAGAGCATTGGGGTCAGACGACCCCAGCTAGTTGCTTGTCCAGTCTCCTCTTGAACACCCCCAAGGTAGGGGAGAGCACCACCTCCCTTGGAAGCCCATTCCAGATTTTGGAAACCCTTACCATAAAGCAGTTCTTCAAGATGTCCAACCTAAATCTGCTCTCTGTCAATTTGTGGCCATTGTTCCTAGTTACTCCAGGGGGTGCCCTGGTAAATACAGCATCTCCTATTCCCTGCTGCCCTCCCCAATGAATGTATAGGCAGCCACAAGATCACCTCTCAGCCTTCTCTTGTGCAGGCTGAAGAGATTTAGGTCCCTCAGTCTCTCCTCATAGGGCCTTGCCTACAGGCCTCTGACTGTATGAGCGGCCCTCCTCTGAACCCTCTCAAGATTCTCCACATCCCACTTGAAATGTGGTGCCCAAAACTGGACGCAGTACTCCAACTGCGGCCTGACCAGTGCCACATAGAGGGAAAGCATCACCTCCCTGGACCTGTTTGTCATGCATCTGCTAATGCCTGATAAAGTGCTGTTAGCTTTGTTGATCACTTTGTTACACTGATGACTCATGTTCATCTTGGAATCAACTATGACTCCAAGATCCCTTTCCACTGCTGTGCTGCTAAGGTCACCCCCCAGCCTGTAAGTGTGTTGGTGGTCCTTTTTGCCCAGGTGCAGCACTTTGCACTTGTCTTTGTTGAACTGCATCCCATTTAATTCTGCCCATTTCTCCAACCTGTCCAGATCTGCCTGGATCCATTCCCTACCCTCTGGTGTGTTAATTTTGCCCCATAATTTGGTATCATCTGCAAACTTGGACAGGGTGCTCTCCACGCCCTCATCCAAGTCACTGATGAAGACATTGAATAGCACCAGTCCCAGGACTGAGCCTTGCGGGACTCCACTGCTCACATCTCTCCAGGTCGATACTGACCCATCCACCACCACTCTCACCCATCCATCCACCACCACGATACCAACCCATCCATCCACCATTGCAGCCTGTCAGTTTATTTATGAGAACAGAATGAGATACCATATCGAAGGCCTTCTTAAAGTCTAGGTAGATGACATGTACCTTGACTCCTGCCCCTAAGCATTTTGACAAGGTTAGTCAGGCAGGATCTACCTGCAATGAACCTGTGCTGATTTCCTTTCAGCATTATTTCCCCTGCTGGGCTCCCACAAATGTGATCCTTAATGATTTTTTCCAGAGTTTTCCCAAGGATAGAGGTGAGACTAACTAGCCTATAGTTTTCTGGTTCATCCCTTCTCCCCTTCTTGAAAATAGGGACCACATTTGCCTTTTTCCAGTCCTCTGGGACCTGCCCAGAGCACCATGAGTGCTCAACAGCTGTGCCACAGGCTCTACTATGACACTGGCCAATTCCTTCAGCACCCTTGGATGAATTTCATCCAGGCCCACTGATTTGAACACATCCAGCCCCTCCATTTGCCTCATCACTAAGTCTGTGCTAACAGTTGGTGGGTTGGTGTCTCTCCTGTCTATCTATGATCCAATTGGAAGATTTGTCTTGGTCTGTGTCTAGGAATACAGATGCAAAGAACTCATTGAAGAGCTCAGCTTTGTCTCCCCTCTCCGTCACCAATTGCCCTAGTTTGTCCTGTAGGGGTCCTATGCTACCCCGAGCCTTCCTTTTGCTTCCTATATACCTGAAGAAGGACTTTTTGTTCTCCTTAATTTTTGGTGCCAGCCTAAATTCTAATCCTGCTTTGGCCTTCCTGATTCCCTGCAAGAGCCAGGGATCTATACTCCTCCTTGGTAGCTACCCGTTTCCACAGCCTGTATACCTCTTTCTTTGCCCTTAGGCTTTCCTGGACTTCCCTGTTCAGCCAGAAGGACTTGTTGGCCCTTTGCCCAGCTTTCTCCTGGGTGCCAGTAACCAGCTCTCCTGAGTTGTTGAGCAATGGCCCTACACTTCAATTTCTTTTCCTCCTGTTCCCGATGTACCTAAAGAAGGACTTCTTGTTGTCCTTGATTCCCGTTGCTAATCTAAGTTCAGTCACCACTTTAGCCTTTCTCATCTCTTCCCTGCAAATGCAGGCCATCGTGGAATAGTCCTCCTTGGAGCCTGCCCTGAGCTTCCATTGTTTATAAGCCTCTTTCTTAAGAGGACCATGATTTCCCTGTTTAGCCAAGAGGGCTTCCCAGCCCTTCTGTTACCTTTTCTCCACATGGGAATGGACTTCCTTTGTGCTTCAAGGATCATGTCCTTAAGAAACAACCACTCTTTGTGCACATCTTTCACCTTTGGTCCCTGGTCCTGCAGTACTTGCCCTACTAGTGACCTAAGCTCGTTGAAATTTACATTTTTGAAGTCCAACACTTCAATCCTGCTATCCAATTTGTCTGCCTTACGTCTGACAGTGACCATGATGGTTTCATGGTCACTGTCACCCAGACATCCCTCTATATTTAAGTCAGTCACCAGGTCATCTCCTTTGGCCAGGACCAAGTCTAGCAGAGTGTCACCTCTGGTTGGCCCATGCACCTCCTGAGTCAGGAAGAGCTCCTCAACACAGGTCAGGAAGGATTGTGACTGATCCAACTTGGCCGAGTGTTCCTCCCAGGAGATGTCTGGATAAATAAAATCACCCATGACAATCATGTCACATGCATGTGAGGCCTCAGTCAATTCTCGAGTGAACTGCAGATCGAATTCCTCCCCCTGGTTTGGTGGTCTATAGTATACACCCACAGTTAGGTCTCTCTCGCCACACCCCCTGCTTTCCCCCGCAACTTGACCCAGAAGGTGTCAAGCTGTCCATTTTTGGAGCCAATGTTGGCCTCCAAGGAGGTGTACTGCTTTTTCACATACAGAGCAATGCCTCCATCTTTCTTCCCCACCCTTCTATGGAGGGTGTAGCTCTCTATAGCTACACGCCAGTCACGTGAGGAGTTGCGCCAGGTCGCCTTAATCCCTACTAGATCATAATGCCTACTGGAGAGTAGGAGAACTAGCTGCTCCTGCTTGTTCCCCATGGTCCTGGTGTTAGTATATAGGCACCTGAGTCCTCCTACTGAGGCTCTCATTGTCCTGTCCCGCTGATGAAGAACTATTCCCTCATCTCCCGCAAAAGTGGCTATCCCAGTGTCCCTATCTACAGGGCTTACTTATATGTTGGTCCCTGGATATGTTTAAATTTGTGTATCCCCGCCCCCCAGCAATCTTAGTTTAAAGCCCTGTCCAGAAGATTGGCCATCCTGGCCGCAAACAGGGACTTATCTTTCTTCGTGAGGTGCATGCCGTCCCCTCTCAGGAGTCCTCTCTCCCTGAAGTACACACTGTGGTCAAGGAATCTGAAGCCTTTTCAGTGGCACCAGCGTCAGAGTTGCCAGTTCACTTCTTCAATGCATCCTTCCCTTCTGGGACCACAGCCTGAAACAGGGAGCACAGAAGAAAAGACTACCTGGGCCCCCACCTCTTGAGCCCAGCCCCCAGAGCCCTGTAGTCGCTCATGACCCAGTCTGGATGACTGCTGGCCATGTCATTAGTTCCCACATGGATGAGGAGCAGGGGGTAGTAGTCTTCCCCATCTCATAACTGGCAGTGTATAAAGTCCTTGTTTGGAGGAGATTTCAATATAAATATAGATGTTTCTCATGAGGAGACACAAGGTACCACACTGTTAAGTGGTTGTTTTGTGTTATTATGAATTTATTTCAATATTTTAAAAAGAAATAAATACATCTAGATATGCAGTTTATAAACTTGAGCAAGGTAGAAAGTTGGGATGACATGGTAGCAGATTTGGTATTGAATGGCATACGATTTTAAAATGAAGATTACAGAGGAGGTCTGAGACAAAGATAAGGAGAAATCATCTCCTTTCATTACTTTCCATCATTCAAAGCTGTAACACTTCAAGAAGAGACACAAGCAGAATTATTCTAGTGGTGCTGGAACCAAAACCATATGAAAACTAACCTAAGTATGAGGCAAACACAAACTTGGTTTGAATAAGACATTGTTTGTATGAGGACATTATGGAATACTTCTGAGTGTAATCAGCTGCTCACTGCATCAGATGCATCTGAAATCACTTTGGAAAATGCAAGATGGTGAGAGTAGATATTATGGATTGTAGGTACCAAAAACAAGAAAAAGTTTACATTTTGGTTATTTTTTCCCCCACAAAAGGCTTCAGATAGAGTAAAAGTGGAGTGCTATTAAAATATTTCAGGCAAGATGTTGCTTTCTAATTTACACCCACACACATAAGTAGCTCGTATTCTCTTTTTTTTTTTTACAGGTGTATAGAGCTCAGCAGCTTTACCTGATAAGCCTTAGTTGGCTTCATTCAACCTGACTGTGCTATCTTCTCTCTCCCTCTGCCCCCAAACTAGAATTCTTGAATGTTTGTAACTGCTCTTAATGGTTACCCAGCTCAGGCAATTTCTCTAATGCATTGCAAGGAGACAAAACAAGGGCTGGCTAAAGATGTATCTTATAGAGTAGGCAGTATAGTACAAAGATCCAATCCTGCTCCACTTAAAATCAAGGGAAAATTACCTCAATTTCAGATTGAATTATTACTACATTGCATGTGATTGAAGGACTGTGTGATGAACTAATAAAATAAAATAAAATAACAACCCACCCTCAAAGTTCACTGCCCTATCTTAGACTACTTCAAAAAATACACACTTGGAAATGTAATTGCTCTGAGTGCAAACAGTCAATGCTTTTTAAAACCTTCACACAATTTCTTGGTAAATGGTGTATTGGACTCCAGCTAATTAAGCAAGTAAAAAAGAATTGATGGAATATTGACACAGTACCAAATACCTGGTAATTCTAAGTCATCTTTACTGGGGCGTGAGCCAGAATGGGACATCCTGACTGGCTCCACTCACTAGGGCTTCAGGAGAGTGACCCTGTTTGTCTGGTGGCTTGCAAAATGCTGTACAGATGAGAGCTGCAGTTCATGTGGCCAGGCAGCACGGTGGTGAAGCAGGGATAGCGTGGTGGCCAGACTTGGCTTCCCAGCAGTCCCCGTGGTGGCAGCTCTTTTTGCTGCCAGTGTCTCCACCACCACCACTGGACCTAGGTACCCCAGCCCATCTGCCCCACACCCGCTACCAGGGACACTGGATGGGGTGGGCAGGCAGGTTCTCCATGGAGACCAGCCTGGGACCCCCAGGCACACTTGGCTTGGCGGATGGGATGGGGCTGTGAGTAAGTGAGGAGTGGTGTCTGGAAGCAGGATGGGCAGGCATGGCTAGGGCCAAGATCATGGGACAGTGACAGCATGAGGCCAGGGGCCATGGCTAGAGCAGAGCCATGACTTGCTGCCTGCATGCCCTGGCAACACGTGCTGGTTTTGCAGGCAGTGGCTGGAGAAGGTTTCCAAGATTTCTGGGACTTTGTGTCTGTGAGCTGGACTTATGGGTTTCTGGTCCTATATCCTGTATTGAGCACAGGCAGTGTAAGTGCTTCTCACAACCTACATTTTGCATGTGCATTCAGTTTCCCCAGACAAGTTGGAAAGCAGTGATGCTACATATTAATATGCGTAGGTGCTGATGTAGATTTTGGGCATGTTCAAGTACATTTTTTACTTCCATTAGGGAACTTGCCCATTGCCAGAAATCAGTACAGATGAAACAGTTCTTAAGACCAGCTAACTGTGAGCAGAAGCAAAACAGCAACTGACCCACATTCAGCACTTGCTTACCTGTACCTATGACAATACATAATAAGACAAATTCAACAATAAGCAGTTTTCTTTGTGTGCATATATCTATGCTACGCAGAGGGAGGATACAGACAGGCCTGGGGACAGAGGCTTCACTGACTCTTGTTAGTGACAGCGCAGGGGTGGGGCAGGCCCAGGGCTCAGGTAGAGGAGTTAAGCTGTGGCCTAGGCTAGACCGCTGCCCTGCAAGGGTGGGGTGAGTGGGGTGCTGCAATGCTTCGTGGGATGTCAGTGAAATACAACCTCTATGTCTATGTACTCTATGTGCCCTGACCGTCTGTTTGGTTGCAGCTGTAGATCACTTTTTTTCCATCTACCTGCTGCACAGTAAGTAACTTTTGTACCTGACCTCCATTTCTATGTTGTATTTTTTTAATTCTAGCCAGCCAGGCATGTTTAAAAAAAGTAATGGTAACAGCCAAGTTTAACTCTGTTTTTAAAAATTATTTATAAAGGCACAAGATGGGTTCTGTGACTGACCCCTTGCACACTTCTGCCATTTTTCTACCTCTGTGATATTCCCTCCTATTCTTCTTTTCTCTAAGCAGTCCTAACCTCTCCTCACAGGAAAATCTTCCTAACTTCTGATCCTTCCTGTTGCCCATCTCTGAATCTTTCATCTCTGCTATGTTTTTCTGAGAAAGGGTGACCAGAACAGAACATGGTATACTCCCTAAGGGTTTATCATTAATTTAGACCAAAAATATTGTAATGCTGATGTATTATTTTTATCCCATTTTGATACTTCCAAACTATTTTCTTTTTTTAGTACTGTTACAGATAAAACAGAGGATTGTATTGAGCTGTCCACAAGAAGTGGCTGCAGTTAATGTAGGACCTAGTAATATAGAAGAACACGAAATTTTCATTCTAATGTGCTATGTCTTGCATTTGTCCATGCTGAATTCTGCCAGTCTGCCATCATGCTGCCCATTCACCAAGCTTTGTTAGGTCCCTCTGGAGTTTCTTGCAGTTTTCTTTCACCAGGTGATTAATGTAGTGCCCTCTGCCTTTGTGCCACCTCATTGTTCTATTGCAATAAATACATACAGTGTCCCATTCTGCACTTGATGGGCTTGCATCCGTGCTCCTGGGCAGCCCAAGTACAAGGAAAACATCTCTGGCTGATGTTGCTATTTGGACAATCAGTGAGGAGCCAGGAGTCTAAAAAAGACCCACCATTACCAAAGACATAAGTGTTGAGGAAACAGACACCCTCTATAGAGAATTACATCTGGAAGGCAGTGTGGCATACTTTTTCCCTGAGGCTGCCATCTTGTGTTCCAGAATCTAAGCAGTCATCAAAGAAAAAATTGTCAATGAAAATTCACAAAAAAATTGTCAAAGAAAAAAAATTCTCTTGCTGTTAAGGTTGCAAAGCTAATGTTAATGTTCTAAGCTAGATGAAAAATGATGCAGTTATCTACCTGGGTTTGCAGGAAGCCTGCAACACCAGCTATAAGAGAAGAGTGAGCGGCCCCTATTCCTATCACAGTGTTAACGTTAATAATTCAAATGTCAATACGGTTAACTCTTCAGCTACAGGAAGGAGCTCAATCCATTGTAAACAGCCTCTTGTTCTGCTGTCTGAAGTAGGCCAAGTTGAGGTTATAGTTGAAGTTTCAGAAGAACCACCATAATTTGTTTTTCTCTCTGTATCACCAGCAGCTGCTAGCACCCTGCTCTACTTCTTTTTTTTGCAACCATCCTTCCTAGTTTTATCAGGACTCTGATTCTCTCATACCCTAGGGCTCCAGGGCAATATGAACATCTTCATTTACTGGCCCCAATTCTTCTTTATTTGTGCCACTCTCCTGGTGTACAGAGCAGATTACCCCTCAGCATGGGAAATCATCTGGTTGAGTAATATCATGTCTTCAAGAAAGGAGATGGCCAGGGCACTAGATCTTATCTTCCCCAGATCCTGAAATGGCCCCTTGGAGTTGTAAAAAACGGGTGTAATGTAGAACAGGCTGAGGTTGTCCTCAGGTTGCACTAGGAAAGGGGGAAGGCCACCAATGCCTTCTTCAATGTACTTGAGGTCTAGCACCAGGATATTATCTCATGACTTCTGTCATATAAATACCCTTTCCCCTCACCCTTACCCCAACATAGAGGTGTTTTCTGGATTTTCATTGCCTTTCTCTGTGACAAGTTGCTGCTGGCCTTTAAGAATTTAAACAATCAGGGAGCTGTAGCTGGTTGCTGTTCTTTTTAGTTTTCATGTCATTTCCTCTCTGCTCCTGGATTGCCATAGGTGACTGTGCTGGGAAGGGGAATTCTCTTTTGTTAGATATTCCTTAGGTTCAGGCAGAAGATTCATAGATTTCATAGACTTTAGGGCTGGAAGGGACCTTGCAAGATCATCAGGTCCAGCCCCCTGCCCAAGGAGCAGGAAGTCAGCTAGGGTCAAAGGATCCCAGCAAGATAAGGATCCAAATGTTTCTTGAAAGTGTCCAGAGTAGGTGCTTGCACCACCTCTGGGGGGAGTCTGTTCCAGGCCTTGGGGGCTCAGACAGTAAATACATTTTTCCTTATGTCCAGCCTAAAACGGTCTTGCAGGAGTTTGTGACCATTGGACCCTGTCATCCCCTGGGATGCTCTGGTGAACAGATGTTCCCCCACATCCTGATGCACACCCCTGTTGTACTTATAGGATGCCATCAGGTCCCCCTGAGCC